AATGTAGATCTTTGCTTCAGTGGATTTGGTGCTTAGTGCCTGCTCTTTTGATTCAGCAATTATGGTCGTAACTGGTTCCTGCTCTGGAAGGTTGCTGTGACTTGTTCTCAGATCTTGTACTTTGCACTGGTGTTATGAATCTTTTTTTTCTTCTGTATATTCTTCCAGTATTTCTTGAAGTTTGCGACCCAGTTGTTAACATATTGTTGATCTGCAGTACACTTTGGATAGTCCCTTCAAGTTTTTCTTTGTATCTCCTTATATCTGTATCTTCTTTGTATCTAATGGCCAGTGCTCTGAGTATATGTTCAGCAATCTTGAGAGCTTCCGATGGAGTGTAACGCTTATTTTTCCATTGTCAGGATTTTTGCACCTTTCCGTATTTCTTTTCTTAATCTTCACATCTTTCTGGCTAAATTCTCTGTGCCTGTGTCTTAGACTGCAATTCTGTATAATATGAGGATTCGACTGTCTAATATCCCAACTGTATTGGAAGATATATAAGTTAAAGGCCGAGAAATATCGAAAATCTCACCATTCTCTTAACTTCAAACATAATTCATCATAATTCTTGTTTAGCCTGTTTTGGCCGAAGAATTATCAGAAAAAGGTACGGTTGTCGCACTTGAAGCGTGGCTTACATCTGCCTACCCCCTTTCAGAATTCCATTGTATGTTTGCAGACCATATCTAACAATGGTGATAGACATCGCTTTGGCTAATTTTGTTCTTCAGCAAATGGCTTTTTTGAGGTATAAAAAATTTAAGCTAAAAATCAGTGTCTGCCAATATTGAAAGATAAATTGGATTGTTTTCAAATACTGAATTAATGAACGAAAGTGAACATTTGTTTCAAGTCGAAAATGCAAAATTTTTTCATGGCGATGGCTTTTGGCTGAACGTTAAACGTAGAAAATCATTAATATTCAGCGATAGTTATCGATCTGTTTTTCTTGGTTCGAAACAGTTGTGCAATTTAAAAAATATCTAAAATTTGAGATTCTGAAGTTTTGCATTCCGCATTTTTTCATAATTTGATTTCATAACTTATCGCATTATTAAATTTGAGATTAAAGTAAGTTATTCCGAAGAATTTTATGAATAAGTGCTTAGTGCTAAGGAGCAAATTAGCTGTCGCGAGAAAAGGATTTTATTTTTTAAGAGCATTACTGGCCCGCTGCGCTGGCTCGTCGAATTTTTCTAGATGGCTACTTGGCGACAAAATTACGCTAATATGCGGGTTTTTAGGTTCGTCCCTGTCGGACATATATCCAAGGCTCAGTATCTAGAACCACGGCATTCCGAACTGATTTGCTTTGCTCCAAGCCGATTTTAGCAAAGACCATTTTGCCAATGAGCCACCGACGCACCAAAAATTGAACAATTTCGGTTTCTAATAGACAAAGTACTTGAAAATGAAGATAAGAGAAATCGTGGGACATTTTGAAACTATTTAAGTCAAATTTTGAAATTTTATAAACATATAACAACGAAATTTATGCATTGTTGCTTGATGAATTCTACTGTCGATGGCATAAATTTTCGAATTCGACGATTAACGAATAGCTGAGTGGATAGTGTTAAGAGGCAAGGATTCATTTCCTACCTCGGCTTCACCTGTCAAAAAGGTCCGGTGCTGGCAACCCAGCTATAATCCTATCGCCGGGCGACTCCTTGGCAAAAAATAACAATATTAGCAGCCAGCAAAGCAAGCCAAACTAGAAATAATGAGCCGTAACCACTTGTTTTTTATTTAGATAAAAAATGAAGAAAATCTAAGATTAATTGACAGGAAAAAATTGAGTTTTTTTTTTGAAAATTTTCATAAAATTTTATTAAATAATTTCTAGATATTTTTTTAAAGAAAATGGAACAAAAGGGAATTTTGCAGACATTGCAAAAACATTGAAAAACATTTCTCGTTGTTTTTAAAATCCCAACGAATCCATTTATCACTTTTTCAATTTTATTGATAACTTCTAACTCAGAGCCAATTTTTAGAAAAAAATTTCAAAAAACCACAATAAAATAGACGAAGCGAAGTAATCCAATATTTTTGTACCATCGATCTCATAAAAATTGCAATGAATGACTCAAAATTTTAATTGAATTGGATATATGTGCTGACATGATTCAAGCTATCTTTCCAGAGTCGTTGTGGTACTGGCGATCCGCCTGCACTTCTACTGCCAAATGATTCCTTGACAAAATTTGTCCGATCCGACGAGTCAGCATAGCGAGCCTTAATAGAAATTGCGAATATTGCCGGCAAAAAAATTTACATGGCGGAGTGTTACTTCCATTCGTTATTTTCCATTCTTATCTCTTGACTGGAGTAAGCTAATAGTTAAAAATAAAATCTAGTTAGGCTGAGGTTTTGCCAGCAAATCTCTTTCTTGCAATATTCTCATCTTAAATCAGCGTTATTTTCGTAGAAGACTTATTGCATTTGGTACCTTTATAAAACAAAAAGACTGCTTAGCCAATATTTCCATAATACTAAAATATTTATTATCGGTAAAAAAATGTAGATTACTGCAGTCAACCAAGAAAATTTTTCCGTCAGCCAATGCTAGCAAAAAAAATTCAGTCTTTTGCGATTATTCTGAGGTGCCACGCCTTGCTTTTGTTCGTATAAAATAGACATTGTACCATTCCTCGAATTAATCGAATTCTATTGAAATTCTTTCAAAAAATCATTTATTAAAGATTTCATTATAAGTTATTAAGAAGCGATGTTGTAGGGCCAAAAGATTTTATCTTTGTAGCAAAATTTCGAATTAATTTTTTAGATTCAACATAATGAATTTTTAATCTCTTTTTCATTTAAATTTACAGTGGTGATGCCGAAACTTTTTCAAAAGGAAAGCGAATTTTTTTAGCTTTTTTTGCAATTGTGGTACTTCCCACGATTTGAAGTTTTGATGAATACTGAAGTTTTATTTGTGAAGGGATTCATGAGATGGTAGAGTATAAAATAAGGTAAACCGCTTAATGTCTGGTTAATAAAGTTAAAAGCAAAGTGCAGGACAGAATAAGAAGTTTTCTAAAAACTCTGATAATTTCCCAAGTCACTTCTTTAATCTGCAGTATTGGAGATGGAAGAGTCAAACTAATTATTTACTCAGAGATATGAGAAAGCCTAAAACTCATGTAAAATTTCTGAACTTCTGAAAATTTATATAAAAAATAAGATTCCAGTGCACAGTCAGTTTACTTCATATGTCGAATAAATGGCTTTAAAAAACCATTAAAAAATCAGAAACTGATTTCAGATTTCGAAAATAAAATATTTTGAAAAAATAAAAAATCTATATTTCACTTTTACAGAAATGGCCGGAAAAACTTGCGTAAAAAGTCTCGAGAATGTAAAAGTAGGACTTGGTGCCAGAGAAATCGAGAACGGTACCGATCTTTATGCTTAGTGAGTAATTTAAGTAATCTTTCATGTATGAATTTATGTTAATTAATTACATAATGGGATTTTTTTGCAGCTTATTTGACACCCATCCAGAATTTCGCAAATATTTTAAAGGACATGAAAATTTCACTGGTGCTGACGTAAAAAAAAGTGACCATTTTAAAAAACAAGGTATGATAAAAATATCTAAGTAGTACTGAAGGACATAGAGTGTTGCTTCTTGCTATGGTCTTGATTTGTTTCTTGACGGAGTAAATCAATCAAAAATAATCAGAAAATAATAACCAAAAATGATAGTCTTATTGTATTAGGAACCATCAATATCTCTATCCTCTGGCAAAAGAATCCCATTCGTAGTAATGGGGTAGCCAAAAATTAGAAGTGGTGAATAAAATGGATAGCTATTTAAGATGCAAATTATATATTTCTGATTAATAAGTTCCAATTCTGCAAACGTTGTGGTAACAGGAATCCATGTTGAAATGAAATGTTTTCTGGCTTTTTGATTAAGTGAAATTGGTTCAGGTCAAACCCTTTTGTTGGCTTGCCACTGTGTTGCCTCACTTCATGAAGATCCCGCAACATTCAAAGCTTATTGCCGTGAAATAATTGACCGTCACGTCAAGGCCAATGTTCACCTCGATCCTTCACTCTGGAGTGTTCGTTTTTTCTTCTTTAAAAAAAAAAATAATTGAATAAGTTCCCATTTGGTAAAAAGCTCGGGATTTTCTTTTTTTTTAAATATTTGTATTAAACTGGGTAAAAAAGAAATTGTTTCACTATAATTATGGTAAATTGTTTTCTTCAGGCATTTTGGCCGATTTTCGTCGATTATCTCGCCAGAAAGACTTCGATCGATGAAAATGCTAAGAAAGCATGGCTGGATGTTGGTAAAGCATTTGCTGAGGAATGCTTGAGCCATTTAAAAACGCTAGGCTTGCCACATTAGATATTACAAATAGGTTTATTGACTGATTCCTTTTGCTTTTACAATCGATTCTTAGAGAATATTTTTTTATTTTTTTTTCTATATTTCCATTTTTTTTTGTATTTTCATCATTTTTGTTCCCAATTAAAGAAGTAAAATTTAAATCGTTTTTATTTCTTATTGCTATTTAATGCAACAAAAATTATTTTGATTTTGGAAAAGAAAAATGTTAAAACCAATAATGAAAATTATTCGAAAATCGAAATAAATTAATTCGAATTTATAAGAAATAAAAAACCATTCATAAAAAAAATTTTAAGCGCCAATGAAATTATAAATAACCCACTGAAAAACGAGTGAATTATCGATAAAAATGTACAGAAAAAACTCTTAGCAGTACGAATTTTCGTTGGGAGCACGGCGGCTTCACTTCTAATATTTAGCTTTACCAAATTCCATTGCGAATCCGCTCCATTGAGTTTTCTGTAATTTTTAACGAATTTTCTTGCCACTAGGACTTTTAACTGCTTCATAATATTGTAATTTCTGCGGTCAGTGCTCTCCTAATGATTTTCTCACTGCGAACCTCAAACTTAAACCTTTATTAGTTAGTGATGTTACATATATAAAGAAAGCAAATCGAAACTAAATAAAAACCAAACATAAAAATGAAAACTCCCAGTTCACCCATCGCTCCCCACTGCTTTCCCTAACAGAAGCTTAAAAATGCCCAAAAATGATCTCTTGGTGGCTTATATTTAATTTGAGATGGGCGGGAAGATTTATGGTTTTTAATCCTCTCATAATAAAAACTATATTGTGTCTCTCACTTATGAGGTACTTTACTGTTATTATTGGATATTTTCTAATACCTTCTCCAACTCTTTTCTCCCTTTAATTCATTAATTCTTTTGTTGGAAATAACAGGTGCGATGCGGATGACCTGCTCATATTTGCAGCTTTTTTCGCCATTCGACGACAAAAAGCATATAATCTTCTTTCAGCATATTCTTCTTTTTTTAATATATGTCACCATTTTTGGTTAGGCCGGCTCCACCGGCTACAAGGTTAAGACGTCTACAAATTGTTCGGTCCGACGCCATTGCTGACAATAATAAAAGCCATCTCCTTTTCCATCATCTAAGCCCATATATCGCTGGCCCACCTATTTATTCAAAATCTTTCCTGATTGCATCATTCCAGGTTTTGATTGGCCTACCTCGATCGAAGAATCTTAGCCAGCGAAGGCGACACTATGTGATGGTAATATTAATAACATTAATGTTTAATATTTGAGCGAAGATGGACGATCATGAGATTTTATCCGCTCAGTGGACACATAAGATGTGTCTAAGACATTAGTGGTCAAAAGCAGATAGCTTTATAAAGGCATAATTCGTCCTTAGTAATTCACCAATCACCTTTGACATGAACTGAAAAGGGCATATAAATCGTAATATAATCGTATTATTAACGATCGCATGGCACTTAATAAAAGCTGCGACTATTTCATCATTCATGTTCACGATTTATATAGAAAAAATGCTAATTAAATTAAATAAGATTTAATTTATACTTAAGTTATGTTAAACCAGATTGTTCAAAATACTATAATTTAGGCTAAATTTGAATCCAACAAGAACATATGGGCTAAAATTATTAAAACTTATGTGTAAAAATAAACTAAAGACTTACAACTTCTTTATTCGTACTATTAATTACTGGAATAAACTATCGAACGATATAACTTGTGCGCCATCCCTAGCAATCTTTAAAAAAGATTAGATTGTATCGTTTATGACGTTAGTTAAAAAGTTCATATCACGCAGGAAGTGTGGAATCTCGATTTTTACCATCCGATTATATATAATATAGTTATTTCGAATTGTATTATATTATATTATTTTATAATTTCCTCTTTATTTCATCTCTAAATTACTAATTTTTTGTCATATTTTCTTCTTTTTTTTTACCGGGTTTGGCTTTTTCTTTTTTCCATTAAATTCTTATTTTTATAATTTTAGTAAATATGCATACACATGTAATTGGCACTTCTCACATAATGGATTGTTTGCGTTTGGTTTCGTTTAGTTTTGTTTAAGATCGAAATTTTTCCTTGGGCGCATTGGAACTACAAAGCATCCTCGTGAATTAGGTGCCATGCAGTCAAATAACATCTTGTTCAGTGACAAATGACAAACCCCCTTGCGAACTCCCTATTCCCACTAACTTAACCCATAATCTACACAAAACACGAAACGAGAAAATGTAGTCCACAATTAATTTCCAACCGATCGAAGCTCAACATTCTAGAACTGCATTCTATAGTTTTCTACTTCGCAGACAATCTCCACTCTATTTCTCGTTTTTTTGCTATGATATTTTATTTTGTTTAACGAGAATAATCGTAGTTTAGGTTGTTGCTTGTGCCAGGTCGCAGGTCAAAAACACTGTATTATATTATTTTCTAATTTATTCCCGATTATTTCATATTTTCCGAAAAAGTCCCGTAAATCTTTATTTCCCTTTCGTTCGCTGTATCTTTTTTAAATATTTGATTTTTGATTTTTTACCATCTTAATGTTTTAAATTATGAATAAACTTTTAAAACATCTTACTAAATTTTGCAAATTTGAATGATAAGCGGCGTTTCCGCGTGAAATATGTCAGTCTTCTGCGTGAAACTGCTTGGAATGTACCATCAAAAACAATCTCAAATGCGACGTGTTCATTCACTGCAACGTAAAATTTAAGCTTTGGCTATTTCTTTAAAGAGCTATTCCTTCTTTAATAGCTCACACCACTATTACTTCGCTGCTTTTACTGGCGGTTGCAATTTGAGGGCTGCGAGCTTTAACGTTTAAAGTATTTACTCCTTTTTTCCTAACAGCACAAAAATTCCTAAAATATGATTCATTTTTATATTTGATAAAACATCGATTTTATTTATTTATTTTTCATTTATATATTTTTTCCAATTTTTGCAATATTTAATTTGATCACTTTCATCACTTTTATTTTCTGCATTATTTTGAAATTGTTTCTATTTGTGTTCGTGATTCAGCAGAGCTAAGTGGTTGTCGTACCGAAAGTCGGGGTTCGAAGCTCGGTTCTGGTGAAGTGGTAGCCGTTTCTCAGGCTCCCTCTCCGGAGTCGAACCCTTATTCTCCGTTACCCGTTACAACCATGGTAGGCACATAAACTACCATCGAAAGTTGATAAGGCAGATACTTGATAGATATGTCGCCGGTACTAGACCATGCGATCAGCTAAGCTATTCAGAGTCACCAATTAACGAGCCGTTTAAAGCTCGATTGGTTTTAATCTAATAGATGCGCTCGTCAATAAAATCGGAGCTTTGGTGCATGTATTAGCTCTAGAATTACCACAGTTATCCACGTAGGAAATCAAGATCAAGTATATAATAGCTGTTGTAATTGTTTCCGCATCATTGCTCGAGATTTGTTTATTTATTTATTTATATTTATTGATAAGTACAAGTTAATTGAATTAATTTGCAAAAAGTAATTTCCGTTTTATTATCAATTTGTATTCATTTTTTATAGCGAATTTATTTTTGTAGGAAATTTTAATTTTCAGGAGGAAATTATTTTCTTTGTTATTTTTTTATTTCGGTAAAGGAAATTTGCAACGAATTTGATTTTTTATTTTCAATGGCAACGATTTTCGAAAAATCGGTTAAGGTTTTTCTCCTTTTTAATTTTGTTTTATTAAAAATAAATTGAAAATTAAATTTATAAATTTATATTTAAAATTTTATAAAATATATAAAATTTTATTAAGAATTAAAAATCCATTTTTTCATTTTTTTTCAAATCTATTTCCAGTATAAAATTTTTCTCTTTTCTGTATGTATCATTACCAAATGCTATCCAAAGGAGAAAATATTTTAGCCACTTAGAAATTTAACTATAATTTAGTCTTTAGTGGAAGTGTTGTTAGATTGTTTTTTGTTGGCTAGTATATTAATGAAACTGTTTATTGTGAGCGTTATTTTCATTTTTGTAAATTTTAGGCTTAATTTATTCTCTCAGTCAAAAAACTTTTCTTGTTCTCTTCAGGGTTGAGAAAAATCAAAAATATCTTTAGATGATTTTTGGTATATAAAATTGGGACGATGAAATTTCAGTTTTGAAGATTTTAGTTCAATTCATTTTTGTAATTTATTGAGGTTCTTAAATTAAAAAATTTTTCTGGAAAATTTTTCCCACTTTATATTTTTGTATTTGAAGATTTTCGATGGAATAAAAGATTATTTTAATCAAGTCATTATCAATATTATGAGAAATACTAATCACCATGGGAAATTCTCTTTTTTCCATTCGAAAAGTTCATATATGATTTAAGTTCCTATATATTTATTTTTACCGCACACGGAACAAAATTTTTTTATCACAAAAGCTGTGGCGTTTATAAATTTTTTTGAAGTTTTTTTTTGAAATTGAAATCTTTAAATTAAATCTTTAAATCTTTAAATTATTTTTACAGTGACATTATTTTTATCTTTTACTTTTCTTATATTTATTAGATTGGATTGTGTCGTTGACGATGGCATTTTATCGGCGATCACGAGTTTTAGGCGTAGGTCTCATATTTGCTCAAACTTTTATTTTTGTTTCTTCGTCAGATCAGGATTGTCAATTAAATATTTCAATATATAAATTAAACTTGAAGTGAATTACGTAAGTTAAAAATAAGCTCATTGATGTCGCGAATTGCCTTGTCAACGGTCACATTGATTATAAAATTCAAAATTTCTTACCAGTTCTTGTGTGAATCTAACTTTTGCATGATATGAATAAATAGAGAAGCATTATCGATGATCACTGATAAAATTTAAATGAAAAAAATGAGAATTGTGGAGGAAAAAAAAGCGTAATCATATCGTAATATCAACTATAATAATTTTCGCCAAAGCCGCTCAGAGATGATAAGAGGAAAAAATCAAATGATAGCAAATTTTACAACGGATTTTTTGCTTTTCTGATTCCACTTATCATATTTCTCAAGCCATAGATCAAGAATTTATTTGGTAAGTACTCATCGTTTCTGATTAGCTTCTTGCAAGTGGTACAACGGGAAATGCCAGAGAATCACTCAGCGAATAACAGATGAATTTCCAGCACCAAGGCTTTTTCAATGTTTTTCAAATATTTTTAAATTTAGTTATCAAAAATTCCGCAGTATGGTGCTGGATACGATAACCTGAGTAACTACCACTTTGCTATCCTGTCTCATATTTCGGTATAAATTTCTTTTAAGTGAATAGAAGGAGATGACATGGAAATAGGTTAATAAAATTGAAATTTATTGCAATATCGAGTAAGTAATTGATGGTTATTAGCAAGTAATATGATCAATTTACTACATATTTCCACATTTATGTTTTGCCCGAATAATTTTTTAGTAGCATTGAATTCCTCAAATTATCCGAATACCAATGGTATGAATGAACGTTTTCCTATTAATTTGTATAGGAAGGGTGAATAAACGAATCGTATACAATACGCATATACCTATGAAAATATGAATTCCTCTCAAAATAATTATAGTTGTCGTCGAAACGGATTACACAATTTTTATTCTAGCAATGGGAATATTTATATAATTCTATACTATTTGATTAGTCTTTCAACTGACTTATCGTCTGTTTATCTCAAAATCAGCCTGTATTTTGGCGATTTCTATGTTGGAAATATTCCGCTATGAAATTTACACTTAGACTTCACCATCGACACTAACCTGACATATTATGTAAATATGATATGTTAATACGATGGTAGTTTCATCACTAATTAGACGTAAAACTGGAGGAGAGGAATGAACGGAGGGGCTAAGGAGACTAAACATTAGCATTTCTCCTATGTTGATATTATTTTCCAGTTGATTTCTCGCGATGATTTTTTAGAAAAAGTAAATATACGTAGGTTTTGCTAGGCAATTTTATATTATTGCAACGAATATTTATGTCAGTTTTATATTTTGCTATGGATTGAAAAAATTTCATTTTTTATTATTTTCGAGAAAAAAATGTTGAAGTTTGCAAGGGTTCGTTTTTTTTCTCTTTTTTTCTGATTGTTTCAACTAATTTACTTTATCTAAGTGTTTCGATTGGTTTTTTTATCGAAAAATTATTTTGCCTCTTTAAATCATTTTTAGATGATTTTTCGAAATATTTTTTTTTGATTTATGAAATTTTTAATCGAATTTTTGGAGATTGATTGATTTTTCCTTTTTATTTATTTTTTTATTTCCAACAAAATTTTTTTTAGAAACTCGATCCCGAGCAACTGTTTACTCGACAAGAACGAATTGGTCGTGGATCCTTCGGTGAAGTTTATAAAGGCATCGATAATCGATCTGGACAAGTCCGTTACCGAATTTTTCTATGATTTTCTTCTTAATGATATTTTTTTGTTAGCATCTAAATTTTTTATTTTTTTTCATAGAAATTATAATTTTTGTGATATTTACTCAAAAAAAATGAAATCTAAAATATTTCGAAATAGTAGGAAAGTTTTTAAAAAAAAATTTATAAAGTAAATTCGAATTAAAAAATTGGCAAATTATCTTTATTCTTTATTCTTAATGGTGTCATATTTTTCATTTTTTATTGTTGCTTCGTTGCTTATTGTTATTTGCTAATCATCTCGAAAAAGTTCTGTTTTTTCTTCCCTTTTCCAATAATTCGCATCATTATTAATCGAGCTGGCGCTGAGAACTATTAGAGCCATTCACGAGCCTTGTGATCTAATAATACATGTCTGAAAAAAAAAAGAGTTCTTCCTCATCGATATTTTGTTTTTTAAAATCTAAATAGAATCCACTGAAAAATTATTAGTCGATTTGGTTAAATTCTTTTTCGCATTCTTTCATTTAATTACTATTTTTTCGTTAGGTGGTAGCAATTAAAATCATCGACTTGGAACAAGCTGAAGATGAAATTGAGGATATTCAGCAGGAAATTATGGTTTTAAGTCAGTGTGATTCACCATACGTTACTAAATATTACGGGTCATATTTAAAGGTAAATATGTTTTTTAAAAGACATTCAAGGCTTCATTATGCAAATAAAATGGATTTTCTGTTAAAGCAGTTTCCCCTTTACTTTAAAGGTGCAATATATTTAGAGAAAAGTTTAAATACTAGCCTGTTGAATTTTGTATGAATACTTAATACTTAAGTACATAAGTAACAGTAAACAGTATATAAATAATTATTTTACTTTCCAAGAAAATGCTCAAAGCATTTCGAATAAGACAAATCAACGGTCGTTAAATTGGCGTGTACGGATCCACTAGGATCCATCGTAACTTTTAAGTCATTATTTGAATCTTAGGCTATTTATATTTATATTTATTTTATTTTATACTATTATATGCACTTAATCAAAATTCATGGATAGAAGAATTTATTAAATCTTCTAAAATTTGCAGTTAGAACTCACGAACATATACTTTTGCATTTCTTATCCCCTTTTTTTTATAAGCGCCAACATATCAAAAAAAATAAGGCGATTCCCATCATTATTATATGCTTTATACGCTTTTTAATTTTTTGGCTATGGCAATATGTTATAATATTTGTACTTAAGGGATCGAAGCTGTGGATAATTATGGAATATCTTGGTGGTGGATCAGCGCTGGATTTAACAAAAAGTGGAAAATTGGAGGAAATGCATATTGCAGTTATCCTGAGGGAAATTCTTAGAGGATTAGAATATCTCCATTCGGAGCGAAAAATTCATCGAGATATAAAGGGTATTTTTTTGTTTATTTTTGTTTTTCGTTTTTAAAGTATTTGATTTCACAAGATTTTTTAAAATTTTTCTGTGAGTTAAATATGAGAATTTTTTCTTCACTTTTTAACTACATCTTGTTTTTTCGTTTGATGGTGCTTTTACATAAAATAAGGGATAATGAAAACATTGCTGCTTAATTTTTTTATTGTTTTTTCTTAATACAATGGCTCTGGAGAAAAATAGCAGTCATTATAAGAAGTGATTTAACAGAATAATTATTCTTTTTCTATAATATCGAATTTAGTCATTTTAAGTTTAGATTATTAGTATTATTACTATTAGTGTTTTTCCTTTTTATTTTACTTTATTCTGTTCAAACCTAAAATTTTTCTTGCATTTAAATTTTTGGCTCTTTTTTTTGTACGAAGTTTATTTCCAGTGAAATGCGTTCTTTAAAGGTGTTATTTTTAATGGTGGAATTGAAAAAACTTCATATGTATAACTTTCATTTGAATTAATTTTTTGTACTTATGTAACTGTATATGTAATGTTCGGTTCTTCTATTTTTATTCATTTTATTTATTTTTATAATAATTATTTTACAGAATTTGGCGATTTTTGCTTTAATTTTTATATGATTCAATTTTGCATGCTATTTTTTCTATCACTCCTTTTTGCTTGTTGATTAACCTATTGTATAATATTATATTCTTTTTATCGAAATGTTTTTTTAGTGATTTAGTTTTTTCTTTCATTGTACTTTATTAATTTCATCTAAATTTTTTTTATGAAACAATGAAATTATTTCTGTTATTTTTATATTCATTCACCATATTCTTTTTTTTATGTTATTGTTATTTTCATTTATTATTTTCAGCTGCAAATGTACTTTTGTCCGAGTCTGGTGATGTTAAAGTGGCAGATTTTGGTGTCGCTGGACAATTAACTGAAACAGTGAAAAAACGAATAACATTTGTTGGAACACCGTTTTGGATGGCACCCGAAGTTATCAAACAAGCATCTTATGATTTCAAAGTATTTTCTTTTTTATTCGTGCTTTTTCTGTTTTTGCTATTCTCATAGGTTTTTGTTATTCATATAAATGGTTAAGTAAATTTTATTTATTTAGTACTAAATAAATAAACAGTACCATGTAAAAATTTATTTTTAATGGGCTTTTTCGTCATTTTATACACTAATATTTCTTTATTAAGTAATTTTCTGTTTTTTTTTTTTTAATTAAAATAATTCAAGGCGGATATATGGAGTCTAGGCATAACAGCAATTGAACTCGCAAATGGTGAACCACCGCATTCAGATTTACATCCAATGAGAGTGCTCTTTTTGATACCGAAAAATGCACCACCACAACTTAATGGCTCAAACTGGTCGAGGGCTTTCAAAGAATTCGTTGAAATTTGTCTTAATAAAGATCCAGAAAACGTCGGTTTTCCGGTCTTTTAGTGTTTATATTAGTGTATATTATATATATATATATATATATATATATATATTAGTCTTTTTAATTTGTTGTACAATTAATTGATCGCCACTGAAAAAAAAAATTTAAGAGACCATCTGCGAAGGAATTATTAAAGCATCCATTCATAAGGCGAGCGAAAAAAAACAGTGTTTTAATAGAGTTAATCGAGCGGAGTGTTGAATATAAATTAAGAATAGGACCGAGCAGCGATTCTGATCAAGATGATGATAATGATGCGGCCAATGGGTATTTTGAAAATATTCTACAAATTCAATATCGTTTTAATTTAAATTGTAATTGCAATTATTTTATATTTTGTATTTGCAATCTAATTCAGGGAAGTTCCATGGGAATTTTCAACAGTTCGAACATCTTCAGCGAAAACTAATCAAGATGACGATAATCAAAATACAGTTAGAATAAAATTAAGCTGCAATAATCGACCAACAGTTATTTCGCAAGGGTCGCCGAAGTCTGATATAAGCCCAGATGGAACCATTGTTAATCGCAACAATGATTCTGTTTGATTTCATTTCTAATTTTTAAAACATTTGTAGTGTGAATAATAAATTAAATTTGGACAAAAAAAGCTTGCAATTTTAGAGGAAAAGGGTAGCCTTAATCTTTTATTTAATATATAATTAATAAAATGAGTGTGGCTGGTTCACTGACAAAACAATTCCTACCGGGAACCGAGGTTTAGTTTGGAGTCTATACCACTGTTTCTCCTATGGCAGTGTCGTTTAGCGAAGAAATCAAAAGAGAACAAAATGGCTAATGCTTAGTGGGCTGCTTCTCAATTCGGAGCGCCAGTGCTGAGGCAGAAGTAAACCTGTCCAAAAATCCTAGTGATGCTGGTGGATTCACCACCTATGCTTCTATCGCCAACGGATTTCCTCGTATATTTGCCTCGTCCGATAAACCAACGGGCGAGTCTAACCAGAATTGGTGAGTGTTATTTTAAAAAAAGTTGATGAATATAAATTTGGTAGGAGAGGTATATATCTATTTTGAATGAATCAATTAAATGAATTCTGATTAATTGAATCTTTTCAGCGAATCTCACAAATAGCAAGTGAATTGCGTCAGACTTCTTTTCGTTCCTATGGTGTTTCTAACCAACCAAGTGGATCTTCATATCAGAATTTCCCATCATCGGTAATTCCTAATGGTGTTTCCATTGGTGATCATATTATGAATGCTACTACTATTTCCGTTGCTTCTCCAACCAGCTCACCTGTAATTTATCGTTTTTAAATATTTTTGATCTGATTATTTACAATATAAAAGGCCATAGAATAACTTTTCAAGAAAAATTTGGTTTTTTTCTAAGTCGTTGAAATGAAACCTTCATATTTCCAGACCTCTTCTTTAAACCGTACTTCTTCAATTGCTGTTGGCTATAGTCCTCAGCAATCTTCTCAGAATCATGTCCGGCATACATCGAATATCGCAACAAATGGTGTTCAAGCGTTATCAAGTCATCACTTTGTGAATTCCCAAGTATCCCGTTTAACCTCATCCCATGTCCATGAACCACAGCGATATAAAGTTGGTTATGCTTTTTTTGGTTATGGATAGATTACTTTTATGATGCACTTATCATTTAATATCTAGGGCGCACTTGAATATACACTTCTACCTGCTCTTAAAAAGCTGGCGCGCACTCGGCATTCTGGTGCTGATTTGGAAGCCGTTGCAACTGCTTTGAAACAAGCGGAGAAAAGTAGTCCCGGCATATGTGATCAACTAATAATCGAACTTTTGACGACAATTGCTCTTCCACAAACTACCGAAAATGAACTGCAAATGGCAATCGATCGACTCACCACGTTTGTTTTAATTCAATATTATTTTGATCTAAAATTTTATCGGGAAGCAATCATTTAATATTTTTTTAAAATTCTTGAAGCACCTCAATATGAAGTCTTCTAAAAGTTCTAATTTCTCGGTTTTTATTTTTGGACCCAGTTGCAGTTATTTTAACATTTATTCATCAATCATTAACTGCAAATCTCAAGAAATTATTTCAGAAGACATGCTTGAAGTAGTTGATCCACATTTTTAAATGAAAATCATGTTTTCAAATGTATTCTTAAACTTTCCCGAGTATCAGTTTATTTGGAATAATTGCCAACAGGCAACCGTTTGGTTGTTATCATTAATTTTACTTGTTTGTCAGATCTTATAACCTTATAAAAGACGTAATTTTATTTTCTTATTAATTGGTATATAATTGAAGTAATCATTTTCCAGCTCATTCGTTATTTGTAAATAAATTTATTTGACGTTAGCAATTTTTTTAGGCTGAATAAACGGTGAAATAACAAATACCAAATTCCCATTTTCGTTAGAAATATTCGAATTTCAATATTTAGATGCTTAATTTTGAATTTTTGAAATAATTTATGGAAATATGGTATTCATACATATTTCTGTAGAATATTAGTATTATTAAATAATTTAAACATAAAAAATGTTGTATTTGAATGAAACGGGAAGTTGTGTCATCATCTTTTTAAACGAATTCATTTCATGTGAATTTATTTTGTTTCTTAAATTTTTTTCTCTCACGCAATATGCTTTATTAATGATCTTGATAAAAATATATAAGTATCATATGAAAATTGAAATTATTGATAACTTGTTTGTTTTAATAATTTTATTTGAATCTTCAATTAGTGAAAATTCCTTGTTCGAAAAAGATTAAACAGCTCGTGAACAAGGGTTTCGTGACGGAAGGAAACCCGGATGTCTGGAACATTTGTCCGTGATATATCATTTCCCAATGCTCCATCTGTTTTATAATTTGGTCCTAGCCAGTGAATCTTCACCTTAAAATTTTTTATTTCCAGTGCATGCTCAAACTGCGATTTTTCTATATATCATTTATTTTTGGATTTTATAAATTTGAATTATAAATGAATTATAAATTTTAAAATTTCATTACGAAAAGGCATTATACTTTTAAACCTTCCACGACTTACCTGGTCATCGAAACCACTTTGCAGAATACTATTTCTAGCCAATTCACACATATCACAACTGCTCAATTTCCAGACCTGAGCAGCGATGCTATACTCTTCCATTAAAGCTTCCTGTAATAAATATATATTTCAAATTATTCTCTAAATATCCCGAATAAGAAATAATTTAATTTCGAAAAAAATGCTAATATGTGATTTATAATAAATATGTGATTTGCATAAAGTCCAAAAAACATAAATCCTTCCAATTTTATGGAAGCAACAAACTTTAGTAAAGTGGAATTGCAATGGATCATCGGTCGACAACGATACGTTAAGTCCTTTCATATGGAAATCTGGTAAAGGATTTCGATGATAACTTATAAACAAAGAATTGTTGCTAAGTGGTGACATGGCAATACCAATTTGTGCAAGATAAAACAAATACTGCATCACCGGCACCTGCAGTGAAAATATCAAAATATATAATTACATTTTAAATGATTTATTTCCTTTGAGTCTAAGCGAGTAATTATTAATTGAATTTTTTGGCCAAATGATATATAGGGGAAACTCACTTTTCGTAGTACTAAACCATGTGCAATACTTTCTGAAGTCAAATAACTCGTAACAAGATGATTTGCATGGCCGGCTTCACCACAGTGTGGTCGAAGAGAGAATGTGTTAAGCCCACGTTGCCTTAAAACGAAACGGTAAAAGATAGCAAATACCTTAAAATAATGAAGTCAGATCTAAAAGAAATGGGAAACAAAAGGTAATGGAGTAGAGATAATTAATGACATACCGCCTAAACTCATTGAGAATTGCCAAATTCGCATACATATAAAAGAGATAATAACTATATGACGGATTTTCTGGATCAACATATTGTGCAGGATCTGGCGTTGTCCGATCAAACTAGATCAATTCTTTTAGAAATATTTAAAAATCCTTATTTTCTTCCAACATCCAGAGTTCAATTTGAATTCAAAGAATCACTGGATAAAATGTGGGACAAAGGTTGTGATTTACCTGTACGTATTCATGTTTACTCTCATCATCAACAGAATCAATACCAGAAACTTGTTTCAGGAATCGAAAAAGTTCAGGATGAGAGCTGGGATTATTTGTTGCTTCAAACAATGGAGTGAAAATATTGTCCAGGATTTCATCAAAATTTTGAATCAATTTTTTCGAGCGATATACATCACTAAGAATATTCAATAATTATTTTTTAATAATTTTCATTATATTTTCATTTCTTTAAATTATCGTCAGTGCTTTACAATTATATAATTTCTAAATGAAAAAAAAAAGCATACTAAAGACGTGGAACCTGAATTAGCCATCGCACATTTGGTGAATAAATATCATGAGATATAGCCCAAATCGCTAAATCATCCCATTCACCTTTCTTATGACCATAAATTGATAAACGTGGCTCGGCATGCTGATATTTACTGTCTTCAAGGTCAGAAACTACTTCCTAAAACCTAGAAATATGCCAAACGATGAATATAATTCAGATTTCATTCCAATAAGCCATAGTATATTAATGGCACATAAGAGATCCTAATGACAGATAAATATTTACTTATCAACTAAAAAGTGTTGAAAAAGTGTCGAAAGGCCAGTAAAAAAAACCTTTAAAACTTCTGCAAAATACTTTCCCTTCACATAATTATCTGTTTTTATGAAAATTTCACGCAAAATACTTTCACCAACTGGATTATACTTTGTATTGAATTTATCAAAGCGATGAAACGTATTTCGGTCTGCATGCACATCAAGCATATCAACAGAAAGGTCATAAGCATCAATACCGAGACCTTAAATAAAAAAATATTGAATGTGCAAATATTCAGAATGAAACAACCAAATCAATAAAATACAAACACAAAAAACAATAAGAAAACAAAAAAAAGAATATCTTCAGCTGAATAAAGAAATAAATTGGATTACCTTTAAATATTGAAAATATTGAATGTGCAAATATTCAGAATGAAACAACCAAATCAATAAAATACAAACACAAAAAACAATAAGAAAACAAAAAAAAGAATATCTTCAGCTGAATAAAGAAATAAATTGGATTACCTTTAAAAACCTGTTCGAGAGTGACAGCTTTTGAATCCTATATTAAAAAAAATAATCAGCTATTATAACATTTCACTGGCATTTGACCAATAAATGAAATATATAAAAATTAGAAATACTAAATATTGATATTAAACTTATGAAAGAACACAGAAAAAAATAAATTAACAAAAATTAAAAACGTTTATAAAATACCTTGACCAAAACAACGGTATTTTTCTCTGTCTTGATTTTTTTCTTAATAAAACGTAAGAGATGCTTCTGATTCATTGAACTGGCTGCATGAATATGGGTATCAACCTAAAATAGAAAATAAAATAAAATAATTGACCTGTTGTCAAGAAATGACCAATACGCTGCGAATCATTGAAGTAATATATCTGATAAAATCTGATCCAACAGCTGAAGGCGAAAATTTTCATATTCTAGTAAGCAACCCTTACACCATAAAGTAACTTAGGGGATAAAGTTAGATATTTACGCCAAGGGTCCTGAAACATCGCTTCCAATACTAGCAATACAGCCACCTTTATTTGCTCTGATTTTGCAGTTGCCTTCGATAGAGCAGCGCTCTGGAAAGTGATGAAATGTGACGGTACCCCGTACCCCAGAGAAGATCATTCGACTCATAAAGCCATTTTATCAGCACACCTTAGCATAAGTCTGTGTATATGGGGAACTGCCAAATTCCTTCAAAATAAGAACTGGTGTTGCGTCTTTTCCCCACAATATTCAACTATATGACGCACTAGATAATGGACATCGCTTGTCGGCACTCAAGAGGTGTGTAAATCAGTCCAGTTCACAATATCATAGACCTCGAATACGCTGATGATATAGTCCTTTTTGTTGATAATTATAAGGAAATGCAAATAATATTATACAATATGTTGACATGTGCAGCAACGACAATCGGACTCAGGGTCAATGTAAATAAAAAAGTCTTTTCGTCTTATGTGAATTAAGCAGCTGATGAAATGTCTCTTTTTATAATTCATCGTCGGTTGAGGAAGTACCCGATTTTAAATATCTTGGATCCATTCTAATCCCAAATTACCAAGCAAAGGACGATATTACAACTCGGACCACGCCAGCTAGAAATGCATTTTTCCGGTTGACGAAACCTTCATAAAGCCATCGTAAAATTACCTAAAAACGAAAGTCCGCATTTATATAGTTGCGATTAACTCGATTTTGATATATGGTTGCGAAATGAGTGAAAAATATTAAGAACCATTCACACATTTCACGGATTCACCGAATGGATAAAATCGCATGATTGTATTTACCTTCACTCAAATACCACTTATATTAATAATATTATCACAGATCATCGCCTTCAATGGTGCACGTTCTCCGTCGTCCACTACAGCAGTTGACGCATATTACCGACACCTGTGATGGGTTGTCGAAAGCGAGAAGAGTCAATAAAGATACAGGACTGATACAGTCAGGAAAGATTTTTAATGTATAGGGGGACCAGCGATATATGAACTTAGACACTGGAAAAAAGAACGGCTTCTATAACTATTAGCAATGGTGTTGGACTGAGTAGCTTGGACCGTTACACTTTTATGGCCAGTGCATCCAGCCTAACCAGTAATAGTGAGAGCTGTTAGAAGAAACACAAATCGAACCTTTCTGATATTGTAAAAATCTCTGTGAGGTACAGATTTCTGTTCATACAATTCCCGAAGTTCATTCAGCAAAGTATGCAACTGGAATTTATGTTGCAGGAAGCTCAATCGTCGAAAACAAAAGCTCTTTCTAAAATTTGAGAATATAGTGTTTTTAGAAATATATTAAAAATTTTAAAAAACATTTAAAAAATACCTAAGATAAAATATATTTTGTAGAAATTTGTAGCAATTTATAAAAAAGCTATTAAGAGGTATAAGAGGTATAAACAGTGTAATAAATAGCTTAATCATGAATTGAGCACTATGGAATAAATTAATTATTTTAATTACTTTAATTGGAGTAAATTACTTCTCTTTTGAATCCTAGGCTTTGATGGAGTAAATTAATCAAAAATGAGATCCAGGTGATGGTTAACATCTAAGAAGAGAATATCAGTAAATATAAATAAATTTCGATTGCGATCGTATAAATTTTGTGAAATCCTAAGCCAAAAATTTAATTAATTCAATCAGTTCAGTCATTAAATGGTTTCTTTAATGCACAATATAAATACTAAATAATTTACAGTGGACCATTAGCCATCATTGAAGTTAAACGTTCACTGTCTTTCAAAAATTTCTCCTTAGAGATCCGGAAACGTGTAAAATTTTCAACTGATTTTCCATTTTCATCAAGTATTTCTACCTGAAGAGTTTACAACAAAAAAAACATAAAAAGAAAAAAACCACTAAAAAATAGCCAAATTTATTTTTAAAAAAATTGACCTCCCAATAAAAAATTCTAATCTTATTATAGAATAATCTTATTAAACGCATCTTTAAATTTGGCAGAATTTAAGAAAACTTGCCACTCCTAAATTTCGTCGTAACTGATAAACCTTTTCATATACGGGTAAATCTTCCTTTAGTCCCCAGTGGTCATCTGGTGGTTCTGGTGGGTTAAATGATGTCTGAATAGTGCCTAAAATTAATTTATTTGAATTTTAACATCCCTCAGATACTTATAAAGAAAATATCACGCCAAGCTTTATTATTTTAACGAATACATCTTTCTTCTTAAAAATACTCAAATTTCCACTCTTTTTTCAAATAAAATTACCAAAAACAATAAAATCCAAAAAACTGATAAATTTTTCGTAAAAGCATAATCAAAGACAATAATCAGGCTAAAAGGAAGGAAATTATTTGATGCAAATTTGACATTTTATAATTAATAATTTCTACACTCAGAAAATGTTAGGAAAAGAAAAATATTAGCACATTAGGAACAAATAATAAAGAAATCATAAAAATTCACATTCAATATGGCATCAAAAAATCCATGCACCCATGCAAAAATTAATTGGGAAACAATACTAAAATTTTTCACAGAAATAATTGCGAAGAATTTTTTCATTAAATAAAAGGTGATATAATATATAATTCAACAACAAAAATGATATTTCCAGTGCTTTTTCGAGTCGAAGTTTACAAAATAAAATGATCCTTTAACCAACTTTTCAAACCATATTTTACAACAAAAATTAACCAAATTGATACCGATGTTGAATTCAGATCTGTTAAAAACTACCATAAGCAAAATTATACAAAGTTAATAAGTAAAATAGTCTACTATAGCACGAATATCATCGTACCGTTGAAGGTGATGACGTCGAATTCATATGATTCCTTCTCTGATTTGACTGCTGAAGCTGTCTCGAATGATACTAAGGAGATGTCTTAAACCTTTTCATCTACATTTCATAAACCATTTCATTTCAGGTATTAAATATTATCTATGAATATAAGTAAGATGTTAAAAACCAACAATTAACCTAAATAAGGAATTAGCACCATCTGATAATTCAAATTTTAAATAAAAAGGTTTTGCAATGCTTTCCGAAAATATTGCACAATAAATTATTAAACTATTTTCCAAAGCTCTACAATATGTCGAAAATGTCTACCAAAAAAATGGAAGAAAGGATCACAAAATTTTATTAAGCTTTTTTTGCATTTATTGAATAGCTAAAATGCCAATAATTAATTATATTATGAAGCAAAAATTATCGAATAAATTTTTCGAATATTTAAACAAACACTAATGGTAGCAATGAACGACGCCAAAGAATTGTGGATACAATGCGAAAAAATTTTTTTTACGTTTAAAATTAACTGAAATTGGATATTCACTGAAATTGGATAATTGAATATTCAAGAAAATATATAAAAATAGCCGCATACCATCATTCTGCTCGTTTTTCCTCCGAGATGAAGGTAAATTTTCTGGATAGTAACCATTAACAAAATTTTTCGTTGTTGTTGGGAAATACTGACCGATGCGTTCCATATATTCCTCACGAAGCATCAGAGCTTCAATTAAATCTTTCGCTGATAATTTTAGATCCTCCAAAGGCATCTGCAAAAAAAAACCATTTTAAAAACCAGCCTAAATGAAAACTCTATTACTGACTCTATGGTGAAAGAATCAAATCTACTTGACACGGTGGTTCGCGTGCTCCGACGCTCATGATGTTTATTATGAAGCTTACTTCCAAGCCTGCGATAAATATACAATTCATTATATTATTCAAAATTTAGAATATGATATGCTCGCCAGCCAGGATAATTGTTCGAAACCAGTCAAAAGAAACAACTCTCTGCACATGTGGCGATGAATGTTTATAGAGATTGCAAGCTAAGCGATTACATCTATTTACATCTATTTTCTCAAAATATCGTTATATCGTGCAAAATATCATGCATTATTAAACCTAGCTCCCAGCAGAGGGACTGGTTATATTATTATGGTATTTCAAATAACCCTGGGGCAAAATGGTATAGCGATTGTCGTGTCTGAAAAAGCTCGATCCGCTCTGATTGAGCAGAATTCGGTAAATCAACGTTTGGCCTATTCTTGCTCCAAAGGAAAGTTCCACAATTTTTCGCTCATTACTGCACATACCCCAACTTTATGACCAGATTATGACTGAAATAAGGATAAATAAATTCGGTGCGGAACTACAAACATTTCTATTGAAATATTACATGATAATAAACGAAGGAGATTGCGCGTAACTCATGCCGCCACGACGAATTCGGTAATTATGAAGTATGGTATCAGAGCCCAGTGCGTCAATGAAGAAAGCCTCCTCATTTTGCTGAAGAGCATGAATTTTTTGTTATTAACACTTCCACTTCCAACAATAAAGAAGACATCTAGTCATGTGGAACTTTTTACATAATCAATCCTCCAATCAGATTGATTACATCTTAGTCAATAGCTGTTGGAAATATTCCATACTAAATAGCAATTCCTATAATGGCGTAATCTTTCTGAATCAGATCGTGTTTTTATTCGAGTCAAGATTCGAATAAAATAAAATAAACAACTCGCAAGAAACGACGTCTCCTAAGATCTTTCAATTTTCTACTTTAAACCAAAAGATTAGGTGATAGTAAGAGTATTTTAAATTGAATTATTGAAGTACTTCAGTGAATATCAATGACATTCCTAGAAAGCACACGAATAATGGTCTAAATGCATGTCTCCGAAAATTTTGCCACTTCCATACTAGGATATGCCAGTGGGAAATACGCCAGTTGGGTGTCGCGAGTAAATATTAACCTGTTCGAAAAAAGCATGAATGTCAAGAAATTCTAGCTATTGGATACTTCGAAGAATTAAACGACAGCAACATAACAGGATGAAAATCTCTATTGGAGCGATATGGCCTAGATAAATATATATAAATGTAAATGTAGCAGGTCGAATAGGCAATAATAGGAAACTATTCCACCTCCTTCATAATCTATAATTCGACTAGGGGTGACAATGGAATATTGGATAGTAATGGTGTGCCTGTCAAGGCTATTAAGGATCGCCTCATAAGATGAAGGAATTCTTTGAGGACAAAACCACCATCTGTTGTCCTGAACATAGCTGATTCGATCGTCCAGTCATATGTTTGCAGATGCGAGTAGCCAGCAGAAAAGGAAATACTCTCTATTATCTACAAGCTAAACATTAAAACTTCCAGAGAAGATGGTCTTCGACCTGAAATTTTCAAATGTTTTCCCTTTACAAATGTACTCGCTGGTATATAACACTAGCTTATTGGAGCAATTCTGTTCTTAATTCCCAAGAGTGACAAGAAATAATCGAAGAATCAACCTGTAAGATGTCTTGAGAAAATATTTACTTTCCTGGACTTGAGGCAATATGAAACAGCAGAATGCATCCTAGATTATTTCTTTCTTCTATACCAGACCGGCTTATAGTTGTCACGTTAAGAAAGGACACTTCAAATATCGGCAACCCATAGTCACTTGTTTCATTAATTTTCCAGCGGTCAATTAGCCGCCAATTTACTTGTCAGCACTCAAGAGATGTAAAAAACAGTCCGCATCATATTACAGATTTTGAATACGCTGATGATGTAGTCCTATAGTTAGGAATGGTAAATAATAATGGTAAATAAACAATCCGTCGAAAATTGTAGAATCGGACTCAGGAAAATGTGAATGTAAATAAAACAAAGATTTTTCGTGTTGTAGAGAAAATGCTGTTAAAGTACCTATTTTTATAAATTGCCAGCTGAGGACATACCTGATTTTAGATATCTTGGATTCACTCTAATCCCAAATGGCCAAGCAAAAGACGGAATTACAATCCGGATAACAGTAGCTGGAAATATCTTTCCCGCTGAAGAAGCCTTTATGGAGCCGCGAAATCACCAAAACGAAAGTCCGCATCTATCGACACTCCAATTTACTCGATTTTTCTATATGGTTGCAAGACATGGTCAATAAAAGTGGAGGATATTCAGAAGCAACCAATCTCTGACCACTTATGTCTTAAGATATATTTTACGCTGAATGGATAGAATCTCACATAGTCGCATCGACCTTTGTTCAAACACCACTTGCATTAACAATAACATCACCTTCGCCTTCACTGGCTAAGGTACTTCCTACGTCGTTCAATACAGGATGTATATTTCGTTACTTCGTTATTTCATTACTTACTAAACCGTGTAACAAAAGTGAGTCAAAAGGATGGTAAAAAGTGACCCGGACTGATACAGTCAGAAAAGATTTTGAACGTACAGTGGAAGAAATACGGACTTAAACGATGGAAAAAGGAATAGCTTCGATTATTGTCGATGATTGTCGGATCAAACAGCCTACAGACGTCTTACCCATGTAGCCAGCGAATCCAGCTTAGTTAATAATGGTGAGAGATGTTAGAAAAAGAAATTATTTAATCAGTGCATCAACTTATTTAAATTTAAAAAATCCATTCTTTAATAAAATGAAGAAAAATTCATTCTTTATTAACATATTAACATATAACAGTGAAAAACCCATATTTCCAGGATTTTTTACTTTCTTATGATTGAAATAAAACAAGATTTTTCGAAAATGTACTTACACCAGACAATTCCTCACCCGTAAAAGCCATACGTTGATAATTAACATCAGTTGTATCACGAAACGCGTATATCTCAATTTGATGTGGTGATTTTGTTCGAAATTCTTCCAATGTATCAACTTCATAGGGAACGATATTCAGATTAAAATGCATTCCAAATTGTTCCATTCGTGACCTGAAATCCAAAATTACGTTTCATTTTCTGTTTAAAGCAAAATGCACTGATCCAAAACTTAAAAATGACTAAAAAAATAATTATAATAATATATATAAATAATGGAAGAATATCGATTGCATGCAAAAATAAAAAATATATATACGTGGAATATTGAACGATAAATCTGAATGTTTCGCCCAGGAAAAGTTTAACTCCCTTGCGAAGGCCCACAGGAGCAATAATTTCATGGATACATGGATACATAGAATTTCGTTTAAGAAATACTAACATTACTGTAAAAAATTCAGGAACTAAGGAATGTTCCCTTTTTCGCTGACCTTACGCACCAGTCTTCCTCCAAAAAATACAGTACCATTAAGTTTTCATGATTTTCCTTGATTCGTCAATATTTCGAAATTAAAAAACCAAGATAAAGAAAATATGAACAAATCTCTAAACTATTTCAACAAAGAAACATGCAATAATTTGCAACACTGAATTCTTTCCTTATAAGCCAAAAATTTCATGAAAAAGGGGCATTTATAAGGAGGAATTCGAATAATTTCACTTACTGCAATGAGTATCGACGAAATCCTGCTTTTCTATTAATAAAGAGAATTCCTTTATTCTCGATGAATTTAAAAATATTCGTTATGTTCGTAAAGAAAATTGTACTTAATTGTTTAAATTCATATGAAGTAAAAAGTATAAGAATTATTTTTGTCAATATTTATTATTTTTATATAATATAGTCTTTAATATAAAAAACGAAAGTGATGAACCTGTCATAAAACTGTCGTTCCATGGCATTTGTTCTTTCTTTAATCTCAATAGGGTATTGCAGATTTTCGAATGGTGACGAAGCCAAATGATGACCAATTTTTGCTTCATAATTTTGTTGAATTTTTTCATCATTTTCATTAAAAATTTCCGAGTCAAACGATTCTATCAAATAATTCAGTAAATAATCTTTTTGTGATTTGATTTATGACTTAATTCTGTTTACGTTCATTAATAACTCCTATAAATATTTCTTTCTTTTTCTCGCTGATTTGGCTTGTTCTATTGGCTACTAGATGATATACTTTCGACTGAGAGAATTAAATTCCCAGTAACTGTCGGACTGAGATCGAAGGATGGGAAATAAAAAAGGCAACACCTCATTTTACTTTCCTTTCCTTTTTCCTTACCAATGATAATGGTGAAGATTATCGAAAATAGCATCACTGTAAAATTATCAATCTCACTCTTTTTTTGGCTGAAAAATAAGTTTGCGGTGCCATTTGATGCCATTTATTAAATAATTAATAATCTTTTTCATAAAAAATGATAAAACTAACTCAAGTCAGATGATGAATTAACGTGCTGAGGAAGTGAATTCGTCCTCGAACCCATAATTTGCCTTCGTGATGATAAATCTTCTTCCTTATCACTGTCCACCAACTTCTTGTCACTCTCACCACTAAGGATACAGCTGCACTCTGAGCCGACGCTATCTTCCGTAAAAAAATTCACAGATGGCGGCCGAGTGCAACCGAGCAGTCTACTCGGCTGCCATTTACTTTCCGACATTTTTCGAACTTTCTCTTTTTCCTCCTTTTTCTGCAACATGATTTCTTTTGCCTTCTGCATGTTCCATCCTCTTCATTTAACATATTCTCTCATTCAGTTTAAAATTAAAAACTATTATAATATTCACCGAAAAATCTTTAAATGAAAAGGCCGTAATTCGCACGGGTTGCAAAATGCCCGCATAAAGGCCGCAAATGGCGAGAAAGAACAAGGAAGACTGTTAAAAATATAATTTATTTCGCTTAGAAGTTTAAAATGAATGGAAGAAAAGTGGTGAAAAAGATGTCTAAAAATAAAGGGAAAAAAGATTGGCAATTAAACCTAACAATTTAATGGGCTCAAGCCAGAGACAAAGGTCAAGCTTGCATGGAGGTCAAGCTGGTGGTATGAACTTGGAACAAAAAAAGTTTGAAAACGATGCCTCATCATGATAACTATGAAGTGTCATGGAAACAAAATATTTATATTAACATAATTTAAAATGTCGGAAGGTAGTCGTGGAAACAGATTAAAACATCCAATGAAACTTAGCATTTTTTTCCTTATAAGCAAATCCACAAATGTCAATATGCGCAATATCAAAGAAAAAAATCAAAGAAATAAATAAAAATAAAACCATTTTTTTGTGCCATGACCTTCGATCCTCATTTATTTATTGATAAATGCTGTACCGTAGCAATTGCCAAATCTGAAAAATCTTGGTCCACTCTGATTGAGTGGAAGCCAGGAAATGACCGTATGACCTATGCGCGCGCTTCAGCGTGTTCCATCTTTATGCGCAAATAAGGACAAATTCTATGCGGTTCAACAACATCTTTACTGAAAATTGACTGTGCTTATAATCGGAAGAGATTGGAATGCGCGCATAGATCATAATACCGCTACTATGTGGTGTAACATTCGGTAATTGGCAAATATGACACTGTGGTGTGGTCCAACGGAGTTCGTTTTGCTGAGGAGCATGAATTTTCTGTTATTTTCTTCTATTAATTTTCTTACTTTATTTATTTAGTTTTTTTGTTTAATTTTTTTATTCTTTTCCTTCCTTTTGTTTTTTTTAATTTTATGGTTTTTTCTCTCTATGGTTTGATCGAAATAGACAAATGTTTAGGAAGAACACTTTTACATGTTCTATTACTTTTTTACTTTTTAAACTGGTTGTTTATACTATTTCTATTAAAATTTTTACCGTATATTATTAATCTAAAATAATAATAAACATATACTTCCGACATCGAAGGAGATATCTAATCGCATGGAACTTTCCGGACAGCTAACACTCCAACTAAATTAATAAATAATCAGTCGCCATTGGAAGAGTATTAGATAGTCATCCCTCTTGCAGCGCTGAAACTGGTAATCTTCATGGATCGGACCATGTTCGAGCCAAGATTTTTAAAGATTTTGAAAACGATGCCTCATCATGATAACTATGAAGTGTCATGGAAACAAAATATTTATATTAACATAATTTAAAATGTCGGAGGTAGTCGTGGAAACAGACTAAAACATTCAAACTTAGCATTTTTTTCCTTATAAGCAAATCCACAAATGTCAATATTAATAATAATAATCCACAAATGTCACAAAATTAGCAACTCGCAAAAAATCACTCTCCCAAGATCTTCCAGCTATTCTTGCAATTCTTAATTCCCAAAAAGAGTGACAAGATATTGCGACAAGAATCGAAGAATCAACTGTAAGATTATCTTCGAGAAAATATTCGCTTCTCTTCCACGAACAGATTTGTGGTAATATGAAGCAGCAGATCCTAGTAAAGCTGGATTCAGACCGGGATGTAGTTGTGCTGATATTTAAGAAGAATGTTCGAATATCAGTAACTTCAGTAAGCTTTAAATATCAGTAACCGACCGTACTAATAAAACAGCGTTTTGGACAATGATATGAATCGGATGATGTTTAAAAAATCATCCGACTCATTAAGGTATTTTATTAGTGTACATCGGCATATGTGTATATGGGGAAATTAGCAGTCTCTTTCGAAATAAGAATTTTCATCTACAATATTCAATTATGGAATAGATTGGAAAATGGACATAGATTGTCCGCACTCAACAGGCATATAAATCAGCCCAGAGTATAGTATCACAGATCTTGAATAGGCTGATGATGCAGTCCTTTCAATAGAATGACGAAGTGCAAATAATGCTAAACAATATGCCGAAAATTGTGAATCCGATTCAGAGTTAATGTAAATAAAACAAAAACCTTTTCGCCTTATAAAGAAGAAGCTGATAAAATATCTATTTTTATCAATTCAGCCCTGGCAGACGTACAAATTTAAATATCTTGGATCCACTCTAATTGTAAACGGCCAAACGAAAGATGAAATTATAACACGGATAAGAGTAGCTAGAAATGTGTTCATTTTCCCGTTGACGCAACCTTTATGGAGCCGTCGCAAAATCAGCATATAAAAAAACGAAAATCCGCGTCTATAAAACTGTGATTCGCTCAGTCTTGCTATATGGGTCGCAAGAAATGGCCATTGAGAGTGGAGAATATTAGGAAGTTATCTGCCTTCGAACTCATGTTTAAGATATATTTTATGGATTAGCCGAGTGGATAAAATCTCATATCTACTTTCACTCAGATACCATTCCACAATGTCGTCTCTGGTAGTTAGATTCTTCATCACCTACCAGAGAAGTTAATAGTATTTCGTTACTTGCTAAACTTTGTGACTGCTGGCATCAAAAACGAGATGATTCAAAGACCTGGACTGACACAATCAGGTAAGATTTTTGAATGTATAGGTGTACCAGTGATATATAATATATATATATATATATTAATTTTGAAATATCTAACCCTTAGCCACCGCAGCAAGCCTAACCACTAATGACGAAGGCTTTTAGGAAAAAAAAATCTCAGACATCTCATTCATGTGCTTATTCGTTATTATTTGATTTCTTATAAAATGAAGGATATGAAGAAGATTTTACCGGAATGACTTCGTAAAAATTCGCCATTTGCTTCAAGCTGATCTTTAAGATCAAAAAGTTCATTTCTTAACTGATGATGTCTTGTGTTTTTTATAGAAATGCGTTCTTCTAATTTCTCCAGATCTCGTTGAAAATGAACATTCATCTTCAACCATTCCGAATAATAACTAAAAAAATCTAAATAAAAAATGCTTAAAATTACGAAGATCCACTAAATAAAAGAAAGAAAAAACGTGCTAAACAATAAAATTAAACTAAAAAAAGTTTTCGCAACCACGTAAGGAAAGTGCGAATGAAAAATAGAATATTTCTGGAATGAATTATAAAGAAATTAGGAAGAGATTATTTTAACTATCGAAAAGAAATAAAATTATTCAAAATTTTATGTTATATATATATATATATATATATGAATATTCTAAATATTTACAGATGCACAGGCTGGTACTGTAAGATAAACAAAGACATGGAAACTGCTGATGTGAAAACCCGGAAACTCCTCACAATCCATAGAAATTTCCACCCTAAGCAATACTCAAAGGCTGCATACCAACCACATGGAAGATGGGTGATCTGAACTTAGTGATCTGAAAGCCATCGTCTTGAATGAAATCCTTGAATGAAAGCATTCAACCAACCTGAATCAAAGAATCAGCTGCTGAGAGAATGTTTGAAGCATCTACAAGATATTGCAAAAAGACCAAGCAGAGGAAATACCATAGCAAAACAAGATCCTCCATGGAATAAACTGAAGTGAGAAATCCTACCAGTGGTTGGAAAAAAGTGGACTAAAACCTGCAACCTCTAGCGTTGATCATGGCAGTACAAGAGGAGATACTAAGCATTAGATGCACTGAAGCAGGGATCTACCACACTAGACAGAGATCCAGGTGCATATTATGCAAAAAAGAAATAACCCAACGCTTAGTAGTAGGATGTATAATGAAAGCAGGAACATAGGTATAACCAAGTAACTGGCATCTTCTAAAGGAATATATGGCTTCCCATGATTAGATAGGAAATTCCTCAGAGAACCGTATAGAACAATAAGAGGAGCCTGTGGCATTTTCCTATTCAGAGAGACAAACAAATACTGGCCAATCAACCAGACGTCGTGATAGACAAGTATCAGAAATCAGCACTGGATACACCAAGTGAAAAAAATGTCAGAAAGAAGGAATATGAAAAGTTGGAGAAATACCACGAGCTGAAAGAGGAAATAGTGAATAGTGGGAAGTGAAGGGTAAAATAATTCCAGCGATAAATGGAGAACTTAGAACTATGTCCCCTAAACTAAACTGGAAAAGTGGCTTCAACAGATTCATGAACCACCAACAGAGGGTAAGAAAGAAATTTTTTTTAAATACATATAATAGCTACGCACGTCTGAGGTCACTGCTAAATTCATGTTCAGTTTATGGTTGTTTTTTTTTAAGAATATATGAACATAGATACATACAAATATAATACAATGCAATAGAAATATAAATAATATTGAATTAAACTGGGAAAAAATCTTTGAAAGAACTAACATATCCCGACTTTTGAAAAACTCGAGGAAATGACGAAGTAATTGAAAATTGTGTTTATCTTCAAAATCATTCATGCTCAGGAAAAACTATAATAGAATTTTTAATATAAAAGCTTATAAATTATGAATTACAAAATTAGCAAAAAAAATGTACCTTGCAAAGTTCAGCCTGAACAACGAGTCTTTCGCGAAAAAGTTGATCTGCAAGTTCACCATGACTTATTTGACCACGAGAAAAACCGGACTGCTGCAAATACAAATACATTTTCTTAAGCAATCGAAAACTTTCTGTTTTTCCCTATCTAATATTATTTATATTGCAAATATAATTGAAAAAAGCAAAAGTGCTCAAATATGGAAATTGATATACCTTGGCATGTTTTTTTGCATCTGTCTCAGCCTTTATAAACTTATTTTCATAGTCACGACATGCCTTTTCAATGGTTCTTAATCGCACTTCTCCTCCAGCTGAAACTATAAGTCCCAGTGGATGAACAATATTATTATGCCAATTCCATCCCAACAAATTCGACAATTCTGTTTCACTCTGTAAGTAAGTAAATAACTGGTTAGTGGACACCATTTCTGGTAAGCTTGGTTCTAATAGATGGTTCAGTATATTCAGTAATAATTTAAATAAAACCTTCATGAATGAATCCAATTTCAAAAGCGCGGCTGCAGCATTCGAGTCGATTTCGTTATCACATCGAGAGACTATTCGTTCAGTTACATGAAAAAAAAACGATGAAGTATGAAATTAGTCGATCTGAATTTGAATAGCATTATTATTTAATAAAAGAAATTCTGCATATCATAACAAATCCATTTTCCGAATAAAGGCCAAAGATTTGAAAGAAAATTTAAAAAGAAAATTTTATTTTTATAAATTCACAAAATCCTCACAAAATTAAATAAAAACAAATATCTAATCGAATAATCTCCTTTTATTTAAAATATATTAAAATGAAAATTTCTGCAAAATTTAAGTATAAAATTTAATCAAACTGGTGAAATTAAAAAGACATTTGAATCAGAAATATCATTTAATTTTACAGAATTATTTACGATTTGAATAAGTTTATGCAAGTTTAATAGGTGAAAAATTCACTTCTTTAATAATCTGCTCAAATGCTGCGAACTGTTTCGTGAGTGTATGCATTGCCTCCTCGACATCTCTTGATGCGCGATATATTCTTTCGAATTCACTCGTTTCAATTTCTATTTCTTCGGCAATTCGTTGTATCTATTAAAGAGAATCACAAAAAAAGAAATAATTTCGCTAAAACAATAATTTCGTTTTGGCCTTACGTGTCATAAAACTTGTTTGTCAAATAATTGTCAAAAAAAAGAAAACTTCTGGAAAGCGAAAATTGAGAAATCACCAGAAATCTTTCTAATTTGATTGCACAAATCGAACAAATCAAACAAATAAAATAAAAAATCAAATAAAAACGACCAACTTGTGATTTATAATCGGCAATTCGATTACCGAAATTTGATGTAATTGGACTATCTATATCAGATTTTACACTTGTTACAAATTGCGATATTAAATTTCCTTTATTCCTAACAGATTTTTTATCCATTTCGACAAAAATTTTCTGATAACGTCAATGACTCATTATCATCATCATTGCCGTGATCGTATCACTATCATGAGGCTGCAAATATAAAAATGGAAAAATCATAAAAGCTTTGCAACATCTACGATTTTATTAAAATTATATTCACCAGTGAATTTCGTCGAAGAATACGAAATAAAAATTAAGTCAATATTCAACATCGACAGAAATTTTTTTCATTTAAATCCCGATAAAAGTATTTTTCATTAAATATTTCATATTTCATATTTAATGTTAATATTTAATATTTAATATTTTTCATTAAGTATTTTTCAATAGCTTTCAAATAGTTTTGCAAATACTAAAAATTAGAAAGAAACCGATGAAAATGAAATAATTTATTAATCAAATATTAAAAAATAATGCAATCATTCTCAAGAAATGGCGTACAAATGGTTCGCTAAGAAACATCAATAAACAATAAAAGAGGCAAAAAAATCATTTATTACAGCCAATGGCAAAAAAAATAAGCCAAGAAATTATTTAGCATAGCAAAAGCGAATCTTTTAACGAAAGATTTGCATCTGCAAGTGGTAGAGTGCAAGCTAGGACTACTGATAAGAATCGGCTTATTGGCACAATTTCTCACACTTTTTAGAAACAGTTTCGACCAGCGCGTGCCATTTCTGGTTCGGCGGAATCCTCTGGCTGAGCCTCTCGGAATATAAACGTTTAGCCAGTGAACTACTTGGGAAAAAATCGCGGTCACCATCACAATTTCCAGTTCATATTTGACCTGTAGATGGAAGGGTCGACAGAATCCACTTTGTTCTAAGCAAGCATAAAGATAAATTTATCCATAACATAGTAAATTATTGAAGAAACTAATACCAATACTAAATAACCATAACAACCCAACCATGACCAATAAAATAAATACAAGTACCACTCAACACTGAAAGGATGAGAACAAAGAACACGTCCGATAGACCAACAGAGAAATAACTAACTTGCGGCTCAGATAGTTAAAATATAGATAATTTCTTTTAGATTAATTTTTTTCTATTTTTTTGAGGAAAACGTTTGGTATTCTTGTATTATAATATTTTCGTTATCAATATTGACATTAATTTATATCAATGTGTTTATATTAATGCATTAATTTACATTAATATTAATTGGAAATATTATTGAATACTAATAAATTGGAAGAAAATATTATAAATTTCTAATTTCTTAAATACCACAAATTATTTATTTAAAATTATTTATTTAATTTTACAGTATTTCCATTCGAACGTAGGTCGCTTAATAATAGAGTGGTCAATGCTCATTGGTTCTAGGTTAGCACATCTGTTATGCTTTAAAAAAGGAGCCGCTGATGACAGAAATGTAGGTGGGCATGAGCATCAGCCCTTCCAAATTTTTTGATGATAAATGTTTTTGTCGTGACCACAGTTGGAACTCTTATTTTTTTTTAGGAGCACTCTCCACTGCTGGTTCGACCCGCTCTTCAAGCTTGTAGGTCTATACAGACATGCTAAGGAGTTCGTTGGCGATAGAAGTATAGGTGAATCGTTAGCATCACCCTGCTTTTTCTGCGCTCCGAATCAAGCAAGTGCCCTGAGTCGTTCTACTCACCTTTGCTTTTTCCACTCGTTAGATGAAGTGCAGCGAAGAGTGCTGCGTCGGCGGATTCGAACCTAAGCCCCGATCTTCTTTGGCAGTTATCTTACCACTGAGCTACCGACGCTTCACAATAAGATAATCTGAATCACCATCCACTCCGTTATTCTGCTTTATTATTTTAATCTATTTAATAATTTCCTGTACTAATTATTTTGTGCATTAACATGTTCCTTGATAAAAGCGAGCCTCTAACCTCAGCTTATCTCCATTATGAATCGAAACATGTTATCTCCATTATGAATCGAAACATGTTGATGTGGCCAAAAACCAGAACCTGCCGAATTGAATTCCTCATTTCAATATCTCATTTTACGTATTTTTAATTATGGGATATTAGGTTCTCCTTTTTTTTTCTCTTTCATTTCTTAATTTTTCTCTTTAACCTTATTGTTTATAAATTTATATTATAATAAAGATAAGAAATTCCTAGCCTGCTTGGGTACAACCGGCAAGCCATTAGACTAACAATTTTGAACCTCATCCCTTCCGTTTCAAGTCATTTTCACTTGTCCAACCTCATATACTAAATCTCGCCAATCCCTTCCCAATAGCTTCAGTCCCCCACAACAAAAACAACATGTGTCTTAACTTAACTCTTAACTCTTTTTTATTTCAAACATCGCTTTGCATTTTTCAGTAGCAGTAGTTGCAAGTTATAAGATCGAGAAGGTTTTAAATAAGGGAGCAGAGAGTTAATTATTATTAAGTGGAGAATATTAAAGAGCAATGCTGGTGTGATCTCATGAATGTCGAAGTAACGTTTAAGGAGTCGTCAAGCGATATATATGCGAATTGAAAATTGTTCTGTCGATTCGTGGAGTAAATTTGAAGTAGGTTTTTTCATTTTCAAATGCAATAATAATTATTTGATAATTTCGATAATATATAATAGTAATATTAATAATATTATATTATGATCGTATTTTTAAAATGAATTTATTAATTAAAGAATGAGTTTTAAAAAAATGTAGTGAATTTCAAATTAAATAATTTCAAAAGGATATTTAAAAAATTTTTTGAAATATTTAAAAATATTTCACTTAATTTGTTAAGAAGAAAGAAGAAAGTAGAAAGTTCGACGCAATGTAATTCGACATAATAAGGGTGAACATACATCGACGCATGAATATTTTTAGATAGATGATTTGGCATATTTTTTTCAGCGTGAAAATTTTATTTAGTGTCACAAATATAACCATTGCTTTAGACGAGAGCGGCAGTGAGTTATCATCTCGCTCTTGTGTCATGAATGTTTGTATTGGTCATATTGTATTATATTAATCCATTATGGATCCAGTCTCGAATGGGGTTTCCTTCCTCTTTAACATTTTAACCCTTTTAATTTGCGTATTTTCTTCCTTAATAATATCGTAATTAGTATAAGGGAACTGTTTCTATCCGCATCCATGATTTAAATTAATTGTTATATTTTATCATTCTTCATTTATCATTTTTTCGCGAATTTATTGAAAATGCCAAATTAAATTTGAAGTTTTATGATAATTTATGGCTATTTATAATAGTAAAATTATCTGCTGTCGCTTATAATGCAAAAATGGCCGTTGGCGAAATGGCCATTCAACTGCATCAGTGGGCGGACGAAAAATGGTGGATGCTTGTAGGTGCATGAAAAAGGACCTTTTGCAGCTGATTTAAATATGCGATTTTTTTCTAAATTAGTTTTTTATATTGGAAACATAAGAAAATCGAGCAAATGTCAGCCTGCTTTATTTGCATACTGCAAAGTTCTGGCTATGTGGAATATTAGAACGCTTATTGATGAATTTAGGCGATAGTTGTGCACACTTTAGACAAATATCGAGTGACTGTCGCTTACATGTTCCGCCTTTCTAATTTTGGGTCCAGATCAGTGTCTATATTTTATTAGGATAAGAACTATTGGCTGTATCATAATATTGCGAACAATTCAGGGAAAAACGGAGTCGCAATAGCCATTTTCAATAGTACGTAATCCGTTGTAATCGTGCGAAATCCTATTAATGGCCTGTTGGCCTACGCCTGCTTTAAAGGCAAATCTCGCTCATCAGTTTTTATGCTAATACGCTACGTTGATATGTATAAAGATGAATTTTGCGTCGAATTTAACTTGTTAATATTTCTTCAGAAAAATGATCGCGAGAGATTGAATTATCCACGTAGATCGCGTGAATTTCCTTTTATGGCCGACAAATATAGCGTTGGAATCATAAGTGGCAATGGAAAGCGTCTTTTTTGCTTTGCTGTGGAGCATGGAATAGCACTGAAGGAGACATCTGTAACTCGGTACTCGGTATACAATCAATTGCAATTAAACTTTATATTATGGTCGAACATCGATAGAAGAGTTCTGTACTAAATAGCTGCGCATATCGCAGAGGGCCTGAAATTTTAACAACTTTTACGAGTCACACCACATCTGATTATAGCCAAGATCCTAAATTGTCAATATTTAAATTCTGCACAGCATTCTTCGAAATCTTTCTGACTATCTCAAGTTAGAAAATTTTATGGTAGCTGGTGCATTTTTTAAACTAGGATAATAATACATTGAAACATCTAAAGGATTTTAAAAGTAATTTCTTTATAATCTTTATAATCTCTTTAGAACTACCGGTGGATACTGATTCTATCTGTTGTCCGCCCTAAGATTCGTAAGAAACAAGCTGGACCTGGATTGACTCGACACAAATGAGGAGGGCCAGAGCATGCACATGAGAAAGTGTTGATTGGTTTTGTAGACTCGTCACGTTTGCTAAGATACGGGTTAAAACTGATCCTGGAACGATATGGCCTTGAATATGGAGGCAGCACCTCGATTAGGCGATAGTCGAAAATTATTCCGCTTATTTCGTAAAGCAGTATGGGCCTAGGAAATGGTGAATGAAATGATCCGAGATAAGGATGGAGATCTCCTTAAACAATGCGACAAATAGAAATAACACTCATGGAATCATCGAGCTATTATATATTTCTGATAAAGTTTTTGCTTTTCCCTTTTTTTGAAAATTGTTTCATTCTGCTGAATAGGTTTATGGTAGTGCGTGAAAACAGATTGCTCTCTAACAACGCCACATTTAGAGTAGGACATGACCGTGGTGCCCAAATTTTCATGCTGATGATAAATGTCGTTTCAAATATCGGCCAACTATGTTATCTGTGATCTTAATCGATTTTACCGCTCTCTTTAATTCGATCAACAGAGCGTTCCTCGTATGCATCTACCTACATCCTCCTTAATATGCCAAGATCTGCTGTGTTCTTTTGCTAATAACACGTTTTGTACTTTGGCAACTAGCTGGTTTTTTGCTATTATACCCTAATACAAATTCTAAATTCTCTTATCTTTTGTTGGAACACGCTAATACTATTCAGATTATTGTCGCTTACGAAATCTTTATTTTCTCCGCCATATTGATTTGCATGCATCTATTAATGACATTGCTTTAAAGTTTCTTTTCAACCGCTTTACCCCTAGGCTCAGCTGAATATATATCACCTATCGCCATTTTGTTCTCCCTTAGCTGTTATCTATTAGTGGCTTCGTAGTGCCACAGCTGCAGCTGCAACTTGAAAATTTGCAAAGTTAAAATCAAGGTTAGGAAAGCTATGGAAGCATTACAGCAATCATGAAAGAATTTCAGGGATTTGATTCATCAAAATTGAAAGTTACGAGAATACACGAATTCTGAGGGTACATCAAGAAATACGCGAGGCTCTGAAGAGAATTCTGCTCATTTGTAGGACTTTTCACCAATCTTAAGTTTCTTTCATGAACAATTTGCACGTTCCCAAAATCCAAAAAAAATTTTCTGATTATCATCAAGATTTCCCTAATCAGTTATACCATCTTTAATGGACTAACAAATATAAATAGACCAAATGTGGTATCTGGGTTTTTGTTCAGTTCTTCGGATGTTCTTCGGATTATTAGGACAGCGATGTGTTGAATTCGGAAATTCGGCGAATTTCCAATTTTCCAATTTCAAATATATAAATATATAAATATATATACATATATATATATAAATATCAAATATATATAAAAGTAATGAAAATTACTTAAAAGTTAAGTATGTTCAACAATAAGAATAGAAACTTTTCCAATTTTATCTTTATTCACAAAAAAATGAAAAATTTGATATTATGGACAAATTTGATATCGAAGATAGAAACGAATTATGAGAAAAGGAACTAAGTGAGTCGTAAAATTGCTTCAACTATATCTGAATTGGTTTGCTTTAAAGTTTTAAGTGCCAATTTTCTAGACACATTGGCCTGCGATATCACCTAAAATTTATGCGTTGAGAGTTATGAAATTAAGTCAAGAGAAATGAAATTAAGTGTGATCATTATCGAATAATCGCAGTAGAACGGTAATCCTCGGTAGATTGTAAATGAAGCCATTTGACTGATAATATTTTACCAAAATCTTTATTAAACTCATTATTTTCCCTCGCCACCAAACCACAATAGGAAAGGGCTCACTGGAATGGATATAGGAGGGTGGCAGGGTGGATCGAACCAAATACCACGAGTCTAGGAAAAATGGAGAACAAAGAAAAGAGGAAAGGGGGCTTGAACAATTGAAACGATAATCGAACGATGCAAAGCTTCGAAAACCTTACTAATTGTATATCTTTTTCCTCCACACTTCCATCCTCTTCCACATCGCTACTGCTTTCCTCTAAGACAGTTGGTGCTTCATTTGGCAGAAGAGTTTGTATAGTGGTGAATCGTGGGTCATCGGGTATATTTTGCAGCTACAACATTTTCAAAGTATTCAAAGTATTCTTTAGTTTGCAATAAATTTTCATCCAAATGCAGAGGATATCCGAGAAGTTTTGCTTCGATTTAGATCAAACAACATGGGTTTGATATGGGTTTCTCCCACTTCTTGATATAACTAATAAAAACGAGTTACCAGGGTGGTGTTACAATTTTATCTTAAATGGTTTTCTGCTAAAGAGGTTCCAATCTATTAATAGTTTAACAAACTGAACTAGAGAGAAATAGGTCATTTTAATTTTTATCGTTGAATAGTTCAACAAAGCGATAATAAAAAAGTTGTCGATTAAAATAAATTTATACTATGAAATTGACAAATTCCGTTGCAGAGTTGGTAAAATCCGGAGTAAAGATCGCAACATTTCTATTGCGTTTGCGTTTTAACGCATCATGCCAAGGAACCAATTAGGAGATCAATTTATTCGATGAAAATGTGGAAACAGCATTCGATATAAAGTAGCTGAATCAGGCCACAAAATCAGTTCCTTGTTGTGGTCGCGCGATTAGCTAAGAAGGAAGAAACAAAGAGCTAAAATTTACTTCTGCTTTTCCAAAGATGAGATAAGTTCCAACTCCCACAATTAAGTGAACTTCGGGATTCTTAATAATTAATTGCACTTTGTTGGTTTTTTTAATGCATATCCGTGATATTCCTTGAATCGGTTTTGTATTTAATTTTTTCAAAATTCTCCGCGCTCTCCTTTCAGCTTTACTAGGTTGAACCTGGAATTTAAAAAAATAAATATAAATAAATTAATAAATAGGGAAAATAGTAAATTATAGTACTAACAGTACGTAAAGTTGAGTGGTTTATTACCTAGACTCATTCTGCGGTTCCTATCTCTTGACGAGGACAAACCTTAAAAAATTAAATTCGACTGGCACTTCTATCTCTGACTTGCTGGCGAGAAGAATTAATTCGGAGCCGATGCTGGTTCGATTCTCCGCAATAGTAAATCTGTCCAAAAATCCGGGTGGTGATGACGGCTCATCTGTACTATCGCCATGGGACTCTCTGGCATATTTGGTCAGTGATCACTAGCTATCGTCTGTTCTATTAATTTCTTTGGAAAGAATTGCATCACTTCGAATTTTTCTTTACGTTCACAAGCATAATACTGAAAAGACAGAAAGACAGAGAGGACAGAGGTTCTAATTACCGTGCGAGGATTCGGCTCCTGACCTCGACGGAAATAAACCTGTCATCAAGAAATTCGGCTTGCTGATACTGGTAGTTGTACCGGCGATTTAGCGTTCTTTTGCGGCAAACTGACTCCATGGTGAAAATTTTTAACCGTGTTCATCATCATAATCATCATCTGGCTAATCTATCCTTAAATGCTAAATGCTTTCAGAAGATTTGTAATCTGAATTATGACTATATTTGAGCAATAACAGTAGAATCGACTTTGCTTAGCACTTTTGGCCAACTTCTTTATTTCGTTTTCTACAGAGCTGAATATTTGAGAATGTAAAAATGAGTTTGGTTTATAATCTTCAATCCGGACTATTACCGAAAAAATTTAAAGAAATTCGGCGAACGATTGTGTTAATATAATTTTGAGGATTTCTAATATGACATTATGGAATAAAATATAATAACTTAAAGACCTTGGAGTTTTCATTCGAATCTGCAGGTTGCACGTTGGAAGGTTCCTTCTCATCTTCACCACTTTTATAGCAATTTTCGGACGAAAATTGGTTCTCCTAAAATTATGCTGAATTACTGATTCTTAGCACTTAATAGTGACCCGATGCATCCTAGTACCACAGCCCCATAATCACATTTTAGGGACAAAAAAGGATTCGAATTAAATCGTTCATGAATGGAAAAAATAAGGAAAGAAGCGAAAAAAACGAGCAATAAACAAACTTCATTTAAAACTTTTGCAAAATTCCGCTCCATGATGTGACGCACTCTGAGCTTCTAAAATTTCGCCCCGAAAAATTCCCTGTAATTGCGAAAACAGTCAAAAAATCTTTGACGATCAAAATTGATTTGCGGGAATTTAAATGAATTAGCCCGGAGGCATTCGATTCTTCGAAGTATCGTTAGGCAGCCCCAAACAAATATAATTTCTTTCAAAAAACAATTGGTTTAATCTGCAGAAAATTGGAAATTGCACGGCAATTTATTTATTAAGGTGAATACTTTAGTCTTTAAATTACTTGATAAATTTTCCTTGTAATTATTTTGATGAACCAAAGTTCTGGATGCCTCGATTCCGTCAGCTTCATCGCCGCAAGTTAGAAGTGTTCACATTAGACAAATGCAAACATAAGAGCGGCGATTGATCATTGCATTGATCTTTTCCTATCCCACTGTCGTGTGACCTATGACCTTAAGTTTTTTAACTGTTTTCTCTCTTATTTCTTGAGAAATTTGTGATGGTACTTGCCGTGGCTTCTATTTATTGCTAGCTGAGGCTATGGTCCACAGCATTGGTACAGCACCAGTTTCAGTTGCATATCATATTTTTCGAAATATTTTTCAGTAGCATGGAATCTCCGGAAAGAAAAAGCAGAAAACAAAATAAAATGATGACAAATGATTATAAGTTTATTTTTATAATATATATTAGATGACTATATACGGTGACTTAAGGGTTGGCAAGAAAAGAGTCGAGGGAAATGGAGAAAAAAGCTCGGAAAATCTTGTCTATAATTTATCTTGTCTGTTGATTAATGATAGTGGTACTTTAGGAAGGAAACTTCCTTCTCCTGCTATTTTTGGCACATAACTGTTGTAAAATCAAAATTTTTATTATATTGTTATAAATAAGTAAATATAGTCGTTCAACATGGAAATATAAAGTAACTGCATTTTTATCAGTGGAAGTTAAAGTCAACTGTAGCGATTTTTCATATTTTGGATTAATGGTTGATGAGATTTCTCATTTTCGGTTTATATAGAAGATATAAGAGATGTCACAACACTGTCATCAAATAAAATACCACAAAAATAAATAAATAAACCGAAACTAAAATAACTAAGAAACTAAGAAAAACAAATGTTTCAAAAGGATGGTCGCTCTTTGGCTGATGTTGGCTATGTTGGTCTTATATAGCCATCTCACTGGGGTCATTTCTGTAACCTTTACATTATCCTATTCCATTAATCGTTTGATTTCATTTTGGAATTCATATAATCTTTTTAGCATTTTACCTTCATTTATCCACCGTATTTCAGAAAAGAAAATATCTCGATGATTAAGGTCACACTTTGAGTCTATAAGAATTGGCGATTCATGCCAGTTGTCCAGAAATCCACTGTTCTGGCGATATTCTTCTTCTTTTAACAATTCGCACCATTACTGGCTTGGTTGGTTCCGCTTGAGACTGTTTTAAAGTTTCTCCAAGTCTCGATCCGTCGCCATGTCTAAATTAATTCATCCTTTTTCTCCGGCTAAGTCCATGTATCGCTGTTTAGCCTATGTACTCGAAATCCCTTATGATCGTACCTTAACTAAGTACTAAGTCTCGCCTCCACGTTTTTGACGCCATCGGTTTTAATATTGTCAAATTGTTGGTTTCCCATTTCTCCGCTACTGATTCGTTTTTTTTTTTAAGCGTAGAAAAATACGTGAATTTCAATGATGACCAAAGATCAATAAAGGCCAACGAATGGCCTAATGACCATCGTGTGCGGCGTTCAGTAATAATGCTCAGTACAAATAAATTTGAGTAAAGGTGGGTGCTGTCATAGGGAGGCCTTATCCGTATACAATATGTACCAAAGGCCGGCGCGTTTGAAATTAGATACCTTCCTCATATCTCCCATTTTCACTGGCCATACTTCGCAGCCAAAACGAAGAAGTAAAACAGCCAGATAGGTGCAGGCTTTCGTTCTGAGATTCAGGGCAATTCCACTGAGATTTCACTGGATAGAAAAACCTCCAATCGCAGTAATCCGGTCCGGAATCCCACTTGACCACTGAGTAGAAGATTGAATCACAGGTAATTGGAATCTGACTTTAGAATCCTTCTTAAATCCTTTTTTTTTCCTAAAGCTTTTATCTCGTGCTTTGCCCGTTACTTTTATAAGATTAGAGCTGTAGTAATTGATAGATATGTTTGTTGGACTGAATTGCAGTAGGGCTGCTACGTCTCCCACTCCGTAAAAGAGACTGTTGTTGCACTAAAAGTGAAGTATAAGTAGGTGTTGGCAGTGCACCTGTAATTCTACCTCCAATTGACTCTTTAACGAAAGGTTTGCATAATTGAAGAAATTAATAGTGAATACTCTCGGAAAAAAAAGTTCCTTCCAAGTTGTTCTTCGCAAATTTTAAATAGCATTCTAAATGAAATCATCGAAGAATTTATTTAGATTGGGTCTGATATATAAGATGAAAAAAGTTTCGTCTTAATTGATTTGAAGACTAATTTTTGTTGATAGTATGCGGTCTAATAGCTATTGTAATAATCAACGAAAGGGGCAATATCCGTCAGCCTGTTCTACGATTTTACGTTCTGGCCTACTGGCTCATACATCGCTTTAGTAGTGTTCATGACCCAGTCCATTATTTCTTTGAATACTAAGAGAATGAGAATAAAGTCGTATTACCAATTGGTATATCAAAAGGTGTATCAATTCACCATATACATTCACAAATTTGTGCTGTTATACGCTGATAAAGAGTTTTAATAAATCTGATTACTTTTTATGGAATACCTTCATCCACGACTTATCAGAGTATCCTATCGTTAACATCAAAAATAGCAGCAAAGCCAATGAAACACGTAACTCGCAGATTGCAGAAAATTGAAGTGATGTACTCTTCCAATATTCTTTTGCGAATACTGTGAAGATTTGGCCAATGCAAACACACCCTCCCTTTTTTAAATCCATTATGATTAGGTGTTATCATATATAATCCCAAGTCTATTCAGTGGAAATGGGGCAAAAATTTTCCCACGTGATCAAGCTGATTCCTTTATCAATGCATTCCGTAATCTTTCGTTGGGAGAATTTGCCTTATTCCATGATTTACTCTGTACTACTGGTTAAACTTGTCGCTGTGCTGGCTTGTCGCACTGGACAAACATGCCAGCGAGTCCCTTGGCGATAGAAGTACAGTTGAGTCGCAAGCATCACCCGGATTTTTGGATAGGTTTACTCCTGCATGAAATAGAACCTCAGCATCGGCGCTCCGAACTGAGCAAACAACCTAATGAGCCATTCTATCCACTCTATACCAATAAATGTAAATTTTGCAGAAAAGTTTTCAGGCTGAACAGTATTTCAGTTCGCGGAGCGTTTTATCAGGCAAAGTTTTGAATTAGAAAATTTTCTCGGTTGGTGATTTGTAGTTGCAATCAAAAGGTTTCACAAGTGCTCAAATTACCAATCATCCCTCAATTATACCAGATAAATTGGCAACGATCGAAGAAATTCACAATTTTTATTACTTCATATTTTTACTATTCCAAATGAAAAGGCGTTTTTTAATCCCACTTCATTTCTTCAGTGTTATTATATTTCTTATCTATAACTTCAATAACTGAGTGGCTTCTGTGGTACTTTCATCCATGATTTAAAACATAAAATCTAAAATTAGCAACCTTATTCTTCAAGTCTCTTTCAATATGTTTTCCTATTTTTTCAGTTCGCCTGGCTGTAATCTGGTGAACTGAGCTTAGAAAAATCCGTTTTCCGTCAGAGCACATTATCTCTATCACGATTTCCACACATTGCTGCCATGTAACTATTAAGATTTGAGCTAAATTTTTTTATAAAAGATTTATTGCGAGTGAATTTGTTCTCTGTTCTACTAAAATATGTTATATATGTTCCTTGATATCCCTGATATATATATATATATATATATAT